GTTTTTTGTACAATTTATTTCATTTCTTTTGAATTAGTTAAGAATTTTATATCGCTTTATTCAACGATATCATAGAGAGATGCCCTCTAACTACTATCAGAAACAACAAGAAGGTTAATAAATTTATAAATTTATGAATTTTTGTTTATTTAAATATTTGATTTTTCGAAAGGCTTATCTAACTGCTTTAGTGTCATTAATGCGAAATTTGAAGTTGTATTTGTCTTTAGATCTTAATAATTATCTAACAAAGCTAGCAATAATCCTACTGAATATGAATCAGACTAAAATAAAATAATTATTTAAAATTAACATTTTTTATAAAAAAAGTACTTTCTTTGTATAAAACTTAAGTTCATTATCCTTTTTATTTAATATTTCAGGTGCTGAATATCCTAAATTTCCTATGTGCTATATATAAATTTATTTTTAATATTTAATAATTATAGAATTAAAAATCTACTTCTATAGTTTGAATTGAATCCTCATTATCTGGAATCTAAGCAGATAAGCCGAAATCACCTTAAAATCAAATGATAATGAAATATTCTTTATGGATAAATAATTTATTTACATAATTTTATTTCTGGTTATTTTCCTTCTAAATAAACCAAAAAATTTTCTGGTTTAATATCCCTATGAAGGATATTAAATGAATGAATATAATTGACAGAATCAATAATTTAGATAGCTATTTAAAATTTGTCATCTTCGTTAAATTATCCATCTATGTTTGATCTTTCAAGATATTCATCTAATGAACCTTTTGCAAAATAAAGAATAATATGTTGTGAAATATATTTTTAAAAATCATTAAAAAAAAAATGTTTCTAAATAAATTACATGAACATTTTTCTAATTCAAAGACTGAGTATCTATCAGGTCCTAATTTATTTTCTATTATATAGCTATCATAAATCTATACCACTAGTGGCTCTTTTAATTTCTACATAATACTAATTTCATTTTAGATTTCTTATTCATCTACTATTTTTTGTATTTTTAACACTATTTCTTTATTATCAAGTTTAACTTTTTTAGTTGATAATACTATTCCAAAACTTCCAAAGCTAAGAATTTGGAAATTATTAGTATATTTTTTATTTTCATAGAGACTTTTGAACAGATTAGATAATACTTCTACTTTTGTAAATTGTGCTTTCAAATCTTTTTGTATAATTTTCTCATTTGTGTTCTTTAGTATTAACTAAGCATACTCATCAAATTAATTATTCTTTAAAATTAATTATCAATTCATAATTTTTTATAAAAATTTAAACTAAAAATAATAATTTTTTACCTATTCCTTTTATTACTGTTGATTAATACTATCAAATATTTACTGTGCCTATTTAGGTATCTATTCCTTTTATAATAAAATCATTTATTGAATTTATATATTGCTAATAAAATAAAATTAATTTTTTTTTTTTAGAATAAGAGATAATTGTAATAAAAAAAATTAATTATGAAATAGCATTTCTTTTTATATTAACTTGAGATGAAAAACAACAATTACATCAATAATAAAAAAAATAATATATTTATTATATAATTTGTATAAATTTTGTTTGATCTTTTAAAATAATGTTTTTTTCCTTTAAAAATAAAAAATTTAAAGAAAAATAAGCTTTTCTTATTTTATTATGCTCATAATATTATTTTTAAATTAGCAATTTGGTATGAAAAAATAAAATAAAATAATCTTTAGTTTTGAATTATTTTAAATGTTTTGTTTAAGAGTTTCAATATAATTTAATTATTTATTTTTGGGAAAAATTGAAAATTAATTTTAAAATAAATATATATTTTGAGATTATTTTAAAATAAATTATGAAATAATGTATTACCTCTAGTATCATAGAAGTCAACACAAATTTCAATGGTTAACCATGCATTTAGATGAGTTTAGATAGTAATTCTCCTGCTGAAGTTCTATCTAAATAACTAGGTTTTAAGCATATTTAAGCTATTTTGTAAATATTAGATTTCTTATCTATCTAATATATGTCATTAGGTATTTCTTATCCTTTAAACAGGTTATTTTTTATTTCCACATCTATCCAATTCTCATTTAGAGTCTTGAGATTATCAAGCTCTAGTAAAACGAGTCCCAGTGAAAAGAGGTCTGACTATTTAATTTAAATAAACTTTAAAAAGTAATTAAAAAAACTTTATTAAAAACCTGAATTCTAGATTATCCTTTTTCCACTTCTGGAGCAAAATATGCATCAGTTCCTTTCTGAAGATTATAAAAAATATTGAAGCAATTAAAATGATATTAAAATTTTTAACCTTTGACAGGAAGCTTTTTGATTTAGACACAGCTGATGCAAAGCCTAGATCACCTGAAATTAAAAGATATTTATTACAAATTAAAGTAATATAATAAAATTTATATACAAAGTTTGATAGAGAAACCATATTCCTGAGAAGGGCAAACAAGGAAATTTTAAGGCTTGATATCCCTGTGCATAATATTTTTGACATGAAGGTTATTCAGCCCTTCTATCATTTGAATGGCTATTACTTCCTTGATCACATTCGAAGGTGGAACTTATTATTTTCGGAGGAAATCAAATAGCTATTTGAGATTTTCTATTTAATTTATAATTTAATTAAATAAAAATGTCGAAGTAAAAATTAAAAAAAAAATTGTTTTTAAGCTTTTAAATTATTTATTATATTAGAATTTATTTAAAAACTTAATGAAAAATAATAATATTGAAATTGAATTTCTTCATTTATTTAGAATGAAAGAGTTCAATCAATTAAATAATTTTTTTTGAATATTTTTTTTAAAACCTATTTTATAAAAAGTAAAAATTTATTTTTTAGTAATTTTAGATAAATTAATTGAATTAATTTTTAAAAAATATTTGATATTGTATTAGAAATTATTTATTTTAACACATTTAATTAAGTTTAAAATTAATTTAAATTTTTTAAAGATAAATTAGTTAATGTTAAAAAATTTAACTATTTGCTCATTAAAATATCTAATCTATTGATATAACTTATATTTACTCATTTATTAAGATTTTTAAATTGTTAAAATATTTATTTTTTTTTAATTTAAAGTTTTTAATTAAGTTTTTTTGCTATTATTTATTTAATCTACTTTAGAATTAAATTCTTTAATTTAGTTTAATTTTAATATGATAAAATTAATAAATCTCATTTAACCAATATCTATTTTTCTTCAATTTTAGGTATTTTAATTTGATCTAAAATTTACTTATTTTATTAATTAAATTTTTTAATATGAAATAAATTAAATAATTTTATATGTTAATTATCTAATTGCTCTCTTAAATTTTTTTATTATTTTAAATTAATAAAGTATAAACTAATCAAATATTATTTTCAAATTAAATAATAAAATTTTGTTTTGGAAGATAGTTAAAATTAAAATTAATTAATTTTGTTAGTTAATTATTAATAATTTTTTTAATTTATGATTTAAAATATTAAAGAGTAAAAACAAATATCTATGAAGATTGTTTAAAAAAAATTTATATTGGGAAAATAGATTATAAAATTTTGATTAATTAATTTTATAGAATGTTTAATTAAGAAATTTTACAAAATTAATAAAAATAAATGAAAAATTCTTAATTGTTAGGAATCCTAAAAAATTAATTAAAATTAACATTTATTTATTAAATTTAAATAATTTCTATTACATTTTCTAAATTAATTAAATCTGCTTAGCGCAAATCTAATTTTTTTCAATTACGTTATCAAAATCAAAAAAAGACTTAGGAAAAAAAATAAAATTACCTATTTTTAAAATGGCAATGCATAAGCCATGTCATGTCAATAAAAAGTATAAATATATCTTATCTTATGTATTTTTACGTGTTTTTTAAAAAATGAAGAAAAAAAAAATGGATGAAAAATATGTGATTTTTTTTACTCTCGCAAAGCTCCATTTCCATTACGAAGTAGGATTTGTTTTAAGTTTAAACGATAATATCGTTTCCATCATCGTCTTCATCTTCTTTTTCTTCCATTAAATAGAAGCAATCATAGACCTTTACTAAAAACTCTGATTGGCTAAACTTTTGAAGCATTTCATACTCCTTTTTCAAAGATTCGATACCATCCTTGTCATCTTTGTTGGAACAACCTAAGAATTTGAGAGCTACTTAGCGATTTTGTTAAGAATTCTAAGCCTTTAAGACAAGAGCATAAGCGCCACTGCTTAAGTACTCATAATTTTTGAAGTATTTTTTCTAGCTGAACATTAACTTGACCAATTCCTTTATTGCTGGTTTTTGAATTTAGCAATCTTTGGATACTTTGCTTGAGATAGTTTCGATTAACTCGTTTTAAAGTTTCTTAGACATTTTGCTTTTTACTTTCGCTATGCGACTGGGGTTTTTAACTGGGGTACTGACTTACTTAAAGTAGGCTGAGGGGTTTGCTTTTTTACTAAAAACAGAGGTTTTTGTAGAGATGTAAAATTTATATATACCAAAATCACTTTTTTTCTTCTATATAAATAGGAGAATCAGCTTAATAATAAAAGAAATTAGAGTAAAACGCCTAGAGAGGAAAATTGGTTAAAAATCAAAAGAAGAAATCTTAATTAATTTTCAAATATACTAACAACTTTCTATTTTTAGATTATTATTTTTAACAGATAAGATATCAAGCAAGCAATCAATCAATATAAACAGTATCTTTTTAAATTTATAATAAATTTTATAAATCATCCAAAATAACCATTTTCTATGCTAAAATAAATTAACATAGTCACTCTGTTTCTTCAAAATAAAAAATAAAATTAGCTTAATAATAAAAGAAATTAGAGTAAAACACCTCTAAAGGAAAATTGGTTAAAAATCAAGAAGAAATCTTAATTAATTTTGAAATATACTAACAACTTTTTATTTTTAGATTATTATTTTTAACAAACAAAATAGCAAGCAATATAAAGAGTATCTTTTAAAATTTATAATATATTTTATAAATCATCCAAAATAACCATTTTTATGCTAAAATAAATTAACATATTCACTTTGTTTCTTTTATAAAAATAGGAGAATCAGCTTAATAATAAAAGAAATTTGAGTAAAACACCTAGAGAGGAAAATTGGTTAAAAATCAAAAGAAGAAATCTTAATTAATTTTTAAATATACTAACAACTTTCTATTTTTAAATTATTATTTTTAACAAATAAGATAGCAAGCAATATAAACAGTAACTTTTAAAAATTTTAATATATTTTATAAATCATCTAAAATAACCATTTTTTATGCTAAAATAAATTAACATAGTCACTTTGTTTCTTTAAAATAAATATGAAAATTAGCTTAATAATAAAAGAAATTTGAGTAAAACGCCTAGGGAGGAAAATTGGTTAAAAATCAAGAAGAAATCTTAATTAATTTTCAAATATGCTAACAACTTTCTATTTTTAGATTATTATTTTTAATAGATAAGATAGCAAGCTAGCAATCAATATAAACAGTATCTTTTAAAATTATATATATATTTTATAAATAATCCAAAATAACCATTTTTTATGTTAAAATAAACTAACATATTCACTTTGTTTCTTTTATAAAAATAGGAGAATCAGCTTAATAATAAAAGAAATTTGAGTAAAACGCCTAGAGAGGAAAATTGGTTAAAAATCAAGAAGAAATCTTAATTAATTTTCAAATATACTAACAACTTTCTATTTTTAACAGATAAATTATAAGATAGTAATATAAAAAGTATCTTTTAAAATTTATAATATATTTTATAAATCATCCAAAATAACCATTTTCTTGTGATAAAATTTATTAAAGTAGATTTGTATAATGTCAAATTTATGATTGAATAATTATGATTATATAATAAACACGTGGTTTTAAAAATAAATTAGCTTTAAAAATATTTATTTATGATAAAATAAAATCTTTTAAATATTAATATTTATAATTTTTTTAAAGTTTTTGTGAATTATAATATATTACATATAAAACGCACTTGAAAATCAAGTATAAGCAAATGATATTAGTTACTTATTTTATTTGTTGTTAAATGAAAATATTGTTTAGTTATTGATTCTTATTTATTAAATTATACAAAGCATCTATTCTGTATTATTTAAATATACAAATAACTTTTCTTTTTATTACATAAAATAGAGTAAAAGGAAAAACAGACTAAAAGTCCTATTAATTAATTAACATTGTTATTAAATTAATGAATTGTATAGTATATATGGAAGTATATTTTTTATTTGTTAATTTTATCTAATCAAAGATACTATCCATTAATATTAAAATATACTTTTAAAGTGATGCCTGTTTGCACTGCGCACTTATAGAACCAAATATTTTTCCCAAATGCAACTATCTCCACCTTATAGACAGATTTTGTAATGAAAATTTTAAATATGGGATCAAAACTTTTGTTCAATTTTTACTGGCTCATAATTTGATAGGTTTTACTGTAACTTTTTGTGATCATTATTTAATATAGAGTAAAAGCAAAAACACTAAAGATCTTTAAAGATATTAATTTTGATTTTTTTAATAGATTATCCTTATCAGAATATCTTTTCAATTATTCAAAGTGCCTAATCACTGATTTACAAATATACTAATATCTTTTTTATTTATAGCTAATTAATAACAGTTAAAATAAATATCAATAATGATATTATCTATTTCATTAATATAATAGAATCGCTATGTAATACAAATTAAAATATTTTCTATGATACCCTTAACAAAAAAAATTCCAAACTAAAATGACTTTTAATATAAAATAAATAATTCTAATTATTTTATTAGTAGCAATAAATTAGTTTTATTTTATAAGCTAAAACTAATTTTGATGAAATATTTTATTTATTTAAAAAATATACTCATTCATATTCTTTTACTTAAAATAATATAAATTTTTTTTATTTCAACTGTCAATTAAATATGGTAAAATAAATTATTTTTAGTGCATGGCGTTAATTTATAAGGAATGATCTTTTAGATTAATAGTAAAAAAAATTATTATTTAAAAGAAGTCTTTAAAACTATTTTATATTCGGTTAATTCTTCCCAGTAATCAAATGTTTCGAAAATACTTCTGTAGCCTTCTTATTAAAATTGCTTATTGCTAAGATATTCTTAAAGTACTTATTGTCCTTTATTTCAAAAAATCTTAAATATTAATATATATGTATAGCACCTTAGGGTACTACCTTTTTCAAGGTTACATACAAATATAAAACATATACAGAGTATATATTTTTTAACTGCAATTACTATAATTTTTATATTATATGACTGACTATTCATCTCTAATTCCTAATATATTTATAAGTGTAGGTTATAAATAGAAATATAAGATTTAGCAATTAATTTTAGACTAACATTTTTGTAATATTTCTTCCTTTTCAATATTTTTGAAAAATAAAAATAAATGATAGTATAGAAAAATTATTTTTACAATCTTGAACAAGTATATTTTTAATTTTTTATAAATACTTGAAAAATTTAATTTATTAATAAAAAATTTTATAAACTCTTCACTTTCATCTCATTAGGTTCTCAAATAAATTGATATGTGGAGGTAAATTTAATTTAAAATTATTAGTAATTTTTTTTATTATTAATTTTCATGTTATTTACTATATTTTAACTAATAGAAATTATGATCTATATTCATTTATTTTAATATTAATTTAATTATTTAAATTTAATTTTCATTTTCACTTTTCCTTTTATTAATAATTAATTAATTTCTTATTATTTAATATTTTTTTCTTTTTTTCTAATTAACTAATAAATTAAATTTATATTTTTTCAATATTAAAATACTTTAGTTTAGTTAGTGATGAAGATATATTAGGCTTAAGTTCTACTTTAGCAAAGTGTACTAATCTCTTAAATTTGAAACTTAATTTATAGTAAAAACAGTTTATTTGAATATAAAAATAAATTGCAAAGAATATAAATAACAATTTAATTTATTTATTTTATCTATTAGTTTTTATTTGATAAAGTTTTCTTTTTTTATTTTGCTTGTTTAGTTTTTTTGTTTTTTTTAATTTAACTATTTTTTTATTTTATAAATAACTAACTAACTACCTAATTAATAATATTTTTACTTCAATATTTCAAAAGGTCCAATAAAATTGGCAATGAAGATGCATCAAGCTTAGGTTCTGGTTTAGCAAAGTGCACAAATCTATCAAATTTGTGGCTTGATATTGGGTAAAAACAGTATTGATTGTGATGTTTTTAAATATAAAAATGAAATTAAAATAAGAAAATCTTTTAAATTATTTACTAGTTTTTATTTGATTTATTCTGCTCGCGTTTTTTTTCTTTCTTTATTAATTTAACTAATTTTTTCCTTTTCACCATTTCCTTTTATTACTAAAAAATAGATTTCTTATTATTTCATATTCTTTCTTCATTTTTTATTTATAAATGCCTAATTAATAATATTTTTTTCTTCAATACTTATAAAGATTCAATAAAATTGGTAACGAAGGAGCAATAGGCTTAAGCTTTGCTTTAAAAAAGTACAATAATCTCTCAAATTTGACACTCATTCTAATTTAAAAACAGTTTAATTGTTTAGAATTGGACTAAGAACAAGTATAAAAATATTAAAGCGTTCATTGAAGAATAAACTAAATAAAATATGACATGTAAAATTAACTAATTAAATAAGACTTTCAAAATTAAATATATTTCTTTTTAAAACTAAACTGCTGTCTAAATTAATTTTAATTAAATATTAGTATAACCTATCCAAAATTAAAAAGTTATTTACTCTAATTTTTTATTTACTTATAGCATCACTTCAAGAATAGATTTATGTATATTTTAATTAATACCAAAAGCTGAGCAAAATATTAAAAGAGGGAGGGACCTTATTAATTAATGGGAATTGAAAGTGATTAATCTTTTTATTTGAATAAAAATAAAATTAAGAGATTAATTTTCTTTTCATTTTATTTTTAATTTAAATTCAATTTAAATTCGTTTATTTAATTAGATTTGAAACAAATTGATGTAAAATTAATGAATGAATTTATTCATTTCTAATAATTTAAGAATTAATTATCATTTTGATTTTAAATTAAATGTTTAATTTTATTTTCAACTAAAAAGAAAAATAAACAATAGATTTTTATTTTTACTATTAATAGAAATAATATTTCCAGTCAGAGCATTCATTTTTAACATATTTTCTATTAAAAATAATAATTTAATTTTTGTCTTATTTTTTAAATTCTAAATTTTTACTAAATAGCACAATTTTTGAGAAAACATAAAACAATATATAAATTATTTTACATCATATTATGTTTTTTTTTAAAACATAATTTAGTTAATAAATTTTTAATTTATAATTTTAATTTAATCAGTAAAAAACTTATAATTTGACTAGCCTGATTATTTTAAGAGCTTTAATTTTAAGCTCAACCTTTTCTCTTTTTGTATTGCAACTACTGTTTATTATCAGTTAAAAAATTAATTAAAAAATATTTTCCAAAAATCAAAAATCAAAAGAAAGAAATTTTTAAGCTAATTAGTTAATATTTTATTTAATTGTAATAAGTTGAATAAGTTAAATTTAAAAAATAAAATCTTTACTATAGATGAAGGACCAACTCTTTTATATTTTTACAGTTGATGATTTCTTTTTAATTCAGATAATACTCATATTCTCCTCTTAAATTACATAAAATTTCTTGGAAGTTTTAAAAATAAATTTAATTTTACTTAATCCAAGCTTAGAAAGAAGTTAATTTTGGTATACTTGCAATACCCTAACCAAGAATAAGATATCCTTCCTCTGTTAAATTATTCTCCCTATTAGTTTTGTTTATATTAGTTAGTATTCAAATGTTTTATGTTTTTAAAAAATATATACTATAAACTCAGACATAAAGATTCAATTAAGATACAATGGATTATTCCTTAAGTAATAGCAGATATTCCTACATCACTAACTTTGTTTTTGCTTTTAATATATATTTAAAAAATTATATTAAATTAAATTAATCAATAATTAAAATTTATTTGAAAAATAAATATTCTATATAAAAAAATATAAAAAAACAATCCATCCAATATTTATATTTATTGAACATTTTTGTAATAGATAAATAAATTTATTTTAAAGCTCAGTAATTTTTAAATCGTTAATTATTAATTAATTATTAAGTGTAAAAATTGAGAATAATAGATAGTTAATATTTTGAATAGTTAATTTACTTAAAGAAAAATCTTAAATCTGTAATATTTTTGCATTATCTAAAAGCTAAACTGATTGCCTAAGCTCCTTCATCACCTATTTAATTGTTTCTTGCAAAATTTTTTTAAAACATTTGTGAAGAATTTATTGGCATAAATAAATTAAATATTTTTTTCAACACTAATAATAATTTTTATTACTATTAAGATAATTTAAATCTTTATTTAAAAATATAATTTAATAATATACGAAACATTGATGCTTAAAAATCTTATCAATAAGCAGTTGCTTAAACCTAATCCAATACTTGAAAATCCTTTCTCTCCAATATTAGTTTGACTTGATTAAAAATTCAATAATAATTTTTTAGTTTTACATTAATTAATAAATCATTTAAAAAATCAAAACAAAAAATTCAACAATTTTATTTAGAAATCTTAGTATAACTGCGCTTTCAATATGAAAATTAGATGAATGCTTATTTAATTTAATTAGTTATATACACATTTAAAAAAAAAATTTATAAATTTATTATGAGCTCTAAAAACTTTTTATATTTTTTATTAAAATCATTAATTTTTAAACTAATGAATAAAATATGTTTTGTTCTAACTAAAATAATACTTTTCACTTTATTTATTTTTATAAAAATGAGAAAAAGTAAGAATTTAAAATTATTTATTTAATAAAGTTAAGTGTCTTTTTAATTTTGAATAGGCTTTAATGGCTGGGATTATAAAAAATATGAGGGATTTAATTATAATAAATTGATCCACCAATTTTTTATTCCTGCAGACAAAATTGCATAACCAAATATTATTTGGTCAAACCGAATGTTCGATCTATCCCTAGTATTTTTAGTCAAATTATTATGCATGTGTAATTATTTGTGAAGATAGTGCAACACTCAAATTTAATATTTTTTTATTTTTTTTGATAAGAATTAAAGATTAAAAGTACTTACAAAAGAATTAGCTTTAAATAAGATAATTCCTATAAATTACTTAAAGCTTTTCCTAATTCAAAAGCTCCTTCATCACCTAAATTTAGATTACTTCTATTTTATTTATTTATAAAAAATTTTTAAATTAATCTATTATTTATTAGTGCATTTAAATTAATTTTAGTTATTCCAAAAGAAAAAATTAATTAAAAAATATATTGTGATTATATTTCTCAATTCAATTTGTAACAGAATATAATTATTAAATTTTTAAATAAAGTTTAAAGGCATATTTCTTACTTTAGAAATAGCTGTAAGTGTTTAATTTTTGTACAAACTATTAACTATGATGCAAATTAATAAAACTGTTCCTAATCAAAAACTTAATCACTATTTAGAATAAAAAAAGTAAATTATTGTTAGAAATATTTTTTAAAAAAGCTAAAATCAAATATAATTAAAAGAATCTTTAGTTTGTAAATCTATAAATAAATAATAGTAAAATGTAGAGTTTACGCAAAGAATAATTAAACTTGAGTAAAATTTGTCTTGTCAGATTTTATAAACTTTTAATAAAATTTTAAGCAATTTTAAAGTAAAAGCTATAGATAGATAATAAATACGTCATTCAAACTAGTAAATTTGTTGGTTTATTCTGCCATTTATTTAGTATAACTTTTATAATGATTTACTTAATTAATTATTTTTTTATTTACTTAATTACTTAAAATTCTGTTAAAAGCAATAGATAATTTTATATTTTATTAAAAAGTTTGGTTTTAAGTTATTGTTTAAATAAATTAATTCTTGTAAAATTGAATCAAGAAATTGTGAAGCAAAATGTTCACAATATGAATAGTGAGTTATTCTAAAAAATATTTAAAATATCAATTAATTATAAATAATATGAAAAAAAAACAAAATTATATTAGTTTTTTATACAAAAATTAATATTTTATAGTTTATCTGTTTATTAATTCAAAGATCTGAAAAATTAATTGTATATTTATAAATATCAGTGGTCAGCCAGACTAACTAGAAATATTTAAAGTAGACTAAATAAAAATGTTTTAATATAAAGCTTAATGGATTCAACTTTTACTCTAATAATCATCAATAAGATTATTTTTTTTAAATTTTTCAGTATCAGATTATTAATCTAAAATATAATATTAGAGGATACTGAAATTTTCATAAAAATCTTAATTCATTAAATACAATTTTTTTGAAAATTGTTTAATTAATTATTCATTATTTACAGTGCCTATCTAAAATTAAAAAGGCATTTATTTAACTCTAATTTTCTGGTATTTATTAATAAAGAGATAATTTATTTCTTAGTGAGTAATAAAAAATTTTGTTTTCTAAAATTGACTAATATTTATAAATAAACAACTTAAATTAAAGTGATGTTTTTTTACATATTAAATGAAAAATAGTTTATGTTTCATCAAAATATTTAAAAATTTTATGTAATAATTACAAATAATTGCTCTGAATTTTAAATATTTGGTAGATTTTCTAGACAGAATTTTTAACCTAAAAAATTTTGAAATTAATTTTCATTCATTATTGAATGAAAACATAAATTTTTATTTTGAAATTTAGGAAATGCTTTTAAATTTTTTTATATTTTGAGCAGTATTTTTGTAATTTTTATTGATTTTTTTGAATGCAGGCACTATTTAAAATCTAAATAAAGAATAATTAATTAATTATTTTTATTGTTATTTATAATTCTATAATAAATTTATTAGAAAATTTATTTCTCTTATTAAAAAAATTCTAATTTATCACTCATTAATTAATTACCAGTAATTAAGCATTTTTAAAAGAAAAAATTACTATAATATTTTTCTTATTTTTTTAATTTTCAAAAAAAATGAAATTGACAAAAAATTACATAATTTTTATGTGAAACGGAGAATATAGTGTTGTTTTGTCCATTGGGTTTGCGGGTGTTCTTAAAGTCTATTATATCATAATAATATAAAAAAATGGGCAATAATCATTATTTACAATTTGTGAGATAAGCAATAAAAAAAATAGTGAAAAAGTTTGTTTAGTTTCTAGTAGTTTGCTGCCTAAATTATCAATAAATTTAAAGAAGATGGAGGATAATTGATAAGATCACCGAAAAGACAATTGATTTTATAATAAGAGTCTCACTCAATGATGATTAATATTAGAAATGATCAATGAGAAGATTCATAAATCCAACCATCACATTAAATATATTAAACCATACTCTAAATGAAGATGAAGGAAGGAATAAAGCTTTCTAAAAGCACAATTTCAACTGGAGCTTAATTGTTATGGTTTTATAAAAACAAACCTATTGAAGATCTGTCCCTACATTTCAGAAGATACTTGCTCTTAAGATAATACCTATAAGATCTGGAATGCTGAAAAAGGATATGAACTTATAGATAAAATTAAAGCACATGCTCATTTTGTTTACTGCGTTGTATTTTCTGCAAATAGCAAATAACTCGCATCATCTTCAACTGATGCAACATACAAGATTTGGAATGTAGAAAATGGATTCTAACTCCTTAATATCATCCAAAAACATACAATATGTATTTATTCAGCTGATTTTAGTAAAGATGAAAAGAAGCTCGTAACAGGTTCTGGTGATACCACTTTTAAGGTTTGGAATTTAGAAAAAGGATTTGAGCTCATAAAAATGGATGAGAAGCACACTTATGTAGTTTTCTCAGTTGCTTTTTCCCCCTGATGGTAAACTTCTAGCAACTGCAGATAATAACTTTTTCAAAATATGGAGTACAGAAAGAGGATTTGAGCTTATAAATAAGATTGAAGCCTATAAATTATCAATTAAATAAATATCTTGCTTTCTCTCAAGATGGTAAATATTTAGTAACTTATTCAAATAGCTAAAATATTAAAATCTGGAGCATAGAATAAGGATTTAAATTTCTACATAACATTTAAGGAAGCACTAGATTAATTACATCAATTGCTATTACCCCAGATAGATAGCATGTTACTGGCTGCAAGTTTAATTGTTTAAAATTTCAAAATATGGAGCACCTAAAATGAATTTTAACTTATTACTACAATTGAAGCATTTGTTAATTTCACTTCATAATTATATTTTTCATCGGATAGTTAATATCTAGCTGTATCATACAATAATATTTGTAAAATATTTAATGAAAAGGGAGAATTTGAGCTAAAACACACTATTTAAGCACATAGCTTGTAGATCAAATCATTCACTTTTTCTTAAGATTGCAAATATCTTGTAACTTGTTCATCTGATACAACTTGCAAAAACTGGAGTATAAAAGAAAAATATAATCTCGCAAACACAATACAAGGACATGCTTAAACAATTAACTATATTACTTTTTCTGCAGATAGCAAGTATCTTGCTACGACTGATGACACAACTTGCAAAATCTGGAATGTAGAAAATTGATTTTCACTCATAAGTACATTTAATGGTAATGATTAAAGTATTTTATCAATAGCATTTTCTTCAGATAACAATTATTTAGCAATAGGTTCTGACTATAAGACTTGTAGAATCTTGAATGCACAAAAAGAGTTTTAAATAATGAATTTAAATGAATTAGAGGATAGCGAAATTAAATCAGCTGCTGTTTTTTAGCTTAATAGTTAATAAAATTACAGGCATTTAGATAAATTAGCTAAAAATAATAAAATTTTCTAATAAATTTATTGCTTTTGATTAAAAATTTAAAAATAAAAAAATTATATAAATAATTCAAAATTCAAATTGATAAAATTATATTTTGTTATCTTTTTTATATGTCTTATAAGTATAACATATATTTTTATGTAAATTTTGAATTTCATTTATAAAATGAAGTTTTATAAAAATCACAAATTAAAAATCAAATACAGTATCCATCGTCTATGCATTTAAAATAAAACTTAGTTTTCTTCTATTACAATATATCCAAATTTATTTAAAAATGTCTAAAATTTTTAAACATATATTTGTTTATATGTATATATTATTGCTCAATTATTTCTATGTCATTTTATCTAGAATTATCACTATTTATTTATTGTATTCATTATTTATATTAATTTACAATAAGTTAAATTATGGTATTTAATCACATTCAATTAAATTTACTAAAAGTGTACATATAATTTATTAGTCATTAAAAAAAATGTTATTTTAATTTTAATTAATTAGTCTTTTTAAGTCCGTCACAATTATATCGTTATCTTATTTTTAAATATAAATATTTAAATAATTTTTTTATCTTATTAATTTTACTTCTATTTCTTATTTTTTGAATTGATCTCTTAACATTTCTTTGAATTTTTCTTCTGATTGAGAAATCTGATTGCCTCTATTAGTTTTTATATATTAAATGTATCTTTATCAAACAATTTGTTTTAAATATATTTAACAAAATCATTTTTTCTATATTAAAATTATGATTTTATATTTATTTGAAATAAATACATTTAATCAATTTTTTTAAAATTTCTTGCTTTATCAATCAATAAATTATGTTTTTACCTTAAATCAAGTGTCAAACTTGTGATATTCTTGCACTACGCTATTCCTGTGCCTAAATCTTTTGCACCCACATCACCAATACTATTATCCCTTTAAATATAAGAATAAATAATGAATTAAGAAAATAAATTTGGAGGAGAAAGGATTGTAAAAAAAGATTGTTGGTTTTGTTAGTATCTTCGTTTGTTTTTGAAGGAGTAAGTAATTAACTAACTAAGTAAGTAAGTTAACAAATTGGTTATTTTTTAGTTGAGGAGTAAGTAAGTCAGTAAGTAATTAAAAAAGCAATCTAATAAAACAATAAATAACTAACTAACTTGCTTACTAACGAAGTGACTTAATTAGCTAATCACTAAGTGAAAAGCGTAAATCAACAAAATAATCAATTTTTTCAAAATTTCTTGCTTTATCAATCAATAAATTAAGTTTTTACTTTAAATCAAGTGTCAAACTTGTGATATTCTTGCACTACGCTATTCCTGTGCCTAAATCTTTTGCACCCACATGCACCAATACTATTACCCCTTTAAATATAAGAATAAATAATGAATTAAGAAAATAAATTTGGAGGAGAAAGGATTGTAAAAAAAGATTGTTGGTTTTGTGAGTATCTTCGTTTGTTTTTGAAGGAGTAAGTAACTAACTAACTAACTAACTAACTAACTAACTAACTAACTAACTAACTGACTAACTAACTA